AAACACATTTAATAATTTTTTCATACAAATATGTTCTAGAGAATTAATTTATTTTTTCCATACAAATTTCATACTTGCGGTCAGAATCATCCGGAGTGTTATTTTAGGGCAAACTCTTGTTGATTCATAATTTACAACCCAAATTGCCAGTATTTGGAGACCTAGAAATGATTCATTAATTTCGAGTCTCATCACTTAGTTTTGTTCTATCTCCATATAGGCGTAATGATGAAACTCAAGAGAGTTTCCCCCCACTTTTTTTAAGTGTTGGAATTGTGACGAGTCGCAAATCTAGAATTGTCGTTTCACAAATTATTTTCTATTTCAACTCTATCATAAATTATTCTTAAAGCACTAATTTTTATTTTTATTTTTATTTTTATATTTTATAGCAATGTGAATTCGGTGGAAGAGCATTGACCATCATGCAATTATTACATTGCCAAAGTCGAATACACATGTAAACATCTCAATTGCACTCATTCCAAATGGAATAACATTTTTTTCACTTCCACTTCTTCCAAATGTGACCCAAATAAGTCACAACCATTGATGTTGCATTTGAATCCTTTTCATTTACCTACCCCATTCTCATTTTCATTTCATTATTTTCTTTTGTATGCGTAGTTGCCTACTTTATTCTGGTACCATCATTTAATTAAGAATTTTTTAGAATTACTCTCTATAAGCACCATCATATTTATTCATTTTGCTTCAACCTTATCGTCGTACAAAATTGATATGTCTCACTCGTATAACTTTTAGTGAACTCGAGATGTAAGGCATATGTAAAGTATGTCGATAATGGATGCCGGTTAAATGTCAAACCACAATCAAGATTAAGTAGAACTTGTTTCTAACCTTTCCACTACCTCCCGATCCTCGAGCACCTCATCCATACCCAAACTCCTACCTTCCCCACCTCTCTCAACTTTTATTCTACTCCACTCCACTCCCATTTCATCCTTACCTCCATAACGATGGACGGGAATGGGTATCATGTCCACAGGGGTGGAAATTAGGATTAAAATTTAGAGATAATGGTAAGTTACGAGACATAAAAACAAGAGTATAGTATTTTTTATTTATTTATTTTTTTTTAAGCAAGACTATAATTTTTTGTGTGGAGAACTTCCATACACAGAATGATGAATATGGTCAATTAGAAGTTCTCTTGTACAATTGTTCTATGAAATTTCTCGCTTTGTCTAAATGGTAGGTGGGGTAACTGTAAAGGCAATTATAGACCAATTTTGTAAGTAATTTTGGGAAGACATGTACTCGAAAGAAAAGAGAATCAAGTTGCCTTAACATTCTATGTGAAAATGAGTACAACATGGTGCAGAAGGCCATGACAACAAAGAAAGGTTACTTGGACACGTTCTAAGCTAAGAAGCTTAGCCTTAGTATGAATCTTATATACATATATTGGTGTAGGGTTGAAAATTCTAGTATTGTGGCTCGGCTTTTTTATTCGCTCTGGTCTAATGATGTCGCTTCAAATTTTACTTCTACACGACTTTTAATATTTTATTTTGTGTCGGTCATACCCAATAATTTTATACATTGAATGTCATGCCTAATAAAGTAGATTGAACAATATTAAATATAAATTGCATAATACATGTCTTAAATGTTTATTGAAAATAAAAATATATAATCTAAGAATTCCATCTTTCGAATTATCGATGAACCAAAATGCAAGGATCAAGGATGGTAAACATTGATGCCAATAGCAAATGGGATCTGTTCATGCTATTCTATTCAAACATATAATAATAATAATAATAATAATAATAATAATAATAATAATAATAATAATAATAATAATAATAATAATAATAATAATAATAATAATAATAATAATAATTAAGTCGAATAAAATGAAATGATAATTGAAGTCCGTTTAAAATATATTTACAATAGAATCTATTAATTTTCTAGTTTTCGCAAATTATCGTTCAGATCACGAAGTTAACCTCTTCTTAGTTGGCCTTGAACAGGCTCTTTTTTTTTTAATGATTATTTTATTTAGTTAGTTACTTTTGGGGGACTATTAATAGTATTATAATTTTTTTTAAAAATTAATTTTTATGAGACATGTATTATTTGGCTCATATAAATAGTTAAATCTTAATCATTTAAATTTTTAACTAAAGGCCTATTCTTACTATTGTTTTGTTAGCACTGTTCTACAAACAATCTTATTACTTGTATGACTCCCTTTACACTCTGACTTATCGAATTTACACTTGACACAATATCACACCACTTATCACATTTCACACAATTAATCCAATCATTATAAATGGAACAATGTTATTTGTACACACAGCATTACACACCATCACATGGAGGGGGTGTAATCCATTATGTACACTATGAGGTGCACATATAGCATTATTATTATAAATATACTATATCATCTATCAATCAAGTGGTAAAGGAAGATGTACAAATAACTTTATCCATTCTTCAAAAGTATGAGTGCCGAAGTTGAAACAGATTAAGCTACGTCTAGCGACAATATACGGTTATAGTACTATAAACAAAAAATATAAAAATCTTATTTGTTATACCATTCAATTCAAATATTTATTCAGTGGTAATTTAAATTATAAAATAAATATTTAAAAATGAATATATTTGATAGAGAAGTATGGATTACATTACTATATTGTACATATCACATGCATATTTTGCCTTTATTAATTTTCTGACAGATGTAGTTGGCACATTTTAAGTAAACATTAAATTCTTAAATTCCAAGCAAATGGAGTTGATATGAACCTCACACGAACAATTTTATTAAAACTAATCCATGACCAAAACAACACTAAAATAGTGGTTTAGAAACCTCTAACTATATCCATTATGGCCTACTTAGTAAATATTATAACTATTTCCATTATTACCTACTCAGTAAATTAGCTGCTAGGTTGGAATTTAGAAACATATCCTCCTAAAGTGAAGTTGATAGGTGGCCCATTCAATTAAAATTTCGGATGCTTTTATCGAATTTCGTAACTAACTAACTTTTGTGGGTTAAATTTTATTATGGTTGAGAGATCTCAATATCCTTCTAGTAGTAATCAATGTTTTCGTAAAATGTATCAATTCTCGAAGATGCTGATGTGTTGATTCGAGGAGAATGAACTTCTTTAGAGGAGACTTACGGCATCACATCTCATTATGGTAAAAAGAAAAAATAACTTTCCCAATATCCACACAAAAAGGGAAAAACCAGACAAAAAAATAAGGTGATAAAAGATTAATTTTTACCATTACTTAAATATGTAGATTCATCATTCATTAATAAAATAACAATCAACTATTAATTAAATTTTAATTAGATATTTACACAAAAAGGAAACATTAATGGAAAGGCCAGGAAAATTTATAAATTGAAGAGACAAAAAAATTTATTTTTCATAATAAAAAAATAAAAAAGCTCGTTTAATCATTGCTCTAAATTTCGTTGTAGAAAAAGAGTGAAATGTTAAAGAAAGGGAGGGAAATCACGGATTCCGAAGCTTTAGTATGAATGATTGACAAATTATGACGATTTTGTTTATATTTTGGAGTTATAAGTTAGTGTCAATTTTATAAAAAGTACTAAAATAATCTTTTAATACCAAAACTTAGGGATAACACTCGAGGCAATTATTTTCGTCCTCCATCCTATCAAGTATTTTTATCTTCTTATCTCGTGTCCATATTCGATTAAGGCAGATGAATCATATTATTTGTACAAAGTAGGTTGACAAATTTGACTTACTAATTATGTGTTGATAACATTTGGACAAATTATTTCAAAAATATTTTTTCAAATTAATGGAAATCAATGGCCTAAATTTTAGAAACACCGGATTGGGCAGGATCGACCCCATCCTCGTCTTGTTTAGGCCAGGACCCCTAAGTATCGAATTTAACGAGATTTTGGAGAGTATGTATTAAATATTTCAATTTTTTAAAAAGGCTTCATAAAATCTGTATTTACCCTAACTTTTTAACTCTTAAAACTAAATTTACCATACATTTTGGAGAAATCAAACTCCCACAAGATAATTATTCATATAGAGTCCTTTTTCTAATATGATTTTGAGGAAAAGTTAGAACTAAACCAAATCACAATCCGTACCGTTTATTCTTATCTTCTGTAATTTAAATTGAGAAAAAACCTAACTTCTTTCATATCATAACTACCGCCACTTTAAAGTTTTCACTTTTAAATACACTTTCCCTTCTGCCACTGCTTGCAATTGATTTTCGACTGAATTTCCGGCTAAAATCCGGCGGCACCGCGCCGGAATGTGACCGAATTACAAAATTTTGAGAAGGGTTTTACGAATTTCTAACTGTTGATATTTCATTGGTTTGCTTGATTTCAATCCAAGATTTGGCTGCTTTCCATGTATAAACACAATATCTATATAACTCTTTAATGTGAGGAGAGTTTAAGCGCTGTCATGTTTGGGATATTATCATATTAAGATAGTGTCATAAATATCAATGCTATTGTTCTGGGCGGGTTCTTCGAGTCGATGCATTTAATGATAGTTAACTTAAAGATTCTCCTTGTTTTGCGTAAAGATAGCAGTTTTCTGAAAAAAATATTAAAGTAGTCTCAAGAAATTTTCTTTCAACCATACGTGATTCTTAAAATCATTAAACAACAATCTTGCGTAGTTGTTTTCATTGTAGTTTGTTCCCAATATTTATCATCAGGACATCATATCATTGAAGAGGCTTGAAAATCAATTAGTTGGCATCTGAAGCTTTTATGGTATTACAATGTGTAAACTGGAGGATGGTGATGAGAAGGAAAAACAGTATGAGGAGAGTTGGGATGTGGAGGTGAAGTTTTCGAGTGAAGAGGAAGTGGCGAAAACTGAGTTTTTTAAGGTATCTCGTCCTAGAATGAAGCTGTGGGTTTTAAGGGCAATCACCACGTTGTTGCTGTGGACTTGTATTATTCAATTGGTGGCAATCGGGGAAGTATGGGGGCCAACTTTGTTGAAGAGTTGGCCTTCTTGTTCTAGTCCTCCGAATATACATACAGATACAAATGTGTCTTTTATTCAACGAAAAGTTCTTCCTCCAAAAAGTGAGTAATTGGCCTTTGAGTTTGTGTTTTAGTCCAAATGCTAATTCTGATTCGTATGGTTGGGCTGTTTAGGCTTGCGGTATATGACATTTGGAACTCTAAGATTCGAATTTGGTTTTTTCCCTTATTGTTATCACTGCTTTCTTTTGTTTCTATCAGTTAGATTTCAATAATCCACATACTTTATTTGGACTTTTTCTGTGTATTTTGCTAGCAAGATATCTCGATTGTAATCAAGTTGCCGTGCATATATAGTATGACAAGTTTCTTCCTACATCATCTAACGTTACATTTATCAATGTCGCCATTTGCAGTTGTTCTTGAATTTGGTTTCCATTTATTTCAGGGGTGTATAAGAACAATGGTTATCTCATCGTTTCTTGCAATGGAGGCCTTAACCAAATGCGATCAGCCGTGAGCTTCTTTCCATGCTTATTGCTTCTCATTATGTTCTTGATACAGAGTCTTTTCAATGTTCTTCAGCTTGTTAATGATGCATCAGTGTTTGTTGATTCACCAGTACCTTTACTGTGCAGATATGTGACATGGTTGCTATTGCGAGATATCTTAATGTTACTCTTATAATCCCAGAATTGGACAAAACTTCATTTTGGGCAGATCCGAGGTGGATTAGATTACAGTTTATGCAATTGTTCTGAAGCCCAACTACTATTTTTCTGTTCTTTGATGATGCCTTTCTTTCTTGCAGCGAATTTGAAGACATTTTTGACGTTGATCATTTCATTTCATCTTTGAGGGACGAAGTCCGAATATTGAAAGACCTTCCACCAAGACTTGAACAGAGGGTTGACCTAGGAAATTTCTATGAGTTAGCACCTGTCAGTTGGTCAAATATTTCTTACTACCATCGACAGGTTCTTTTTCTTCTCATATTTTCATTTTCTTTTTCGGGTGGGGTGTAAGGGCAGGGGAATAAATTCTTACTGATGGCAGTATTGAGTATTGTTCAAGTTCATTTGGCAGATTCTTCCTCTTCTTAAAAAGCATAAAGTTCTACATCTGAATAGGACTGATTCCCGGCTTGCTAATAATGGATTGCCTTTGGAGATTCAGAAGCTACGGTGTAAAGTAAATTTTAGTTCCCTGAGATTCACTGCTAGGATAGAGGAATTGGGTCGAAAAGTTGTGAGGATCCTGAGGCGAAATGGTCCTTTCCTAGTCCTCCATCTCAGATATGAAATGGATATGCTGTCCTTTTCTGGCTGTAGTCAAGGCTGCAACGATAAGGAGGTGAATGAATTGACGAGAATGAGGTATCATCTCTTCTTTTTGATGAAAAACTTCTGATATATTTTCCACGTCCTTCTAAAAGGGGAGAAAAAAAAAATCTCATTTATTAACTGTGGTAAAACAAATGACAACTAGATATGCTAATTCTTGGTGGAAAGAGAAAGTAATCGATCCTGAACTTAAAAGAAAAGAAGGTTTGTGTCCTTTGACACCTGAAGAAACCTCACTAGTCCTAGATGCATTGGGCTTCGATCGTAGTGTTCAGATATATATAGCTGCCGGAGAAATATATGGTGGAGAAAGGAGACTAAGAAGTTTGGCCGCGGCATTTCCAAATCTGGTCAGTTACTGAAACATGCTAGGCTTACCAAATTTGATGTTTTGATGTATAATGTTATGCAGCAAGAATAAAGCCATTTATCTAGATTGAAAAACCGGAGGTGAAGAGACAGATTGATATGTCAGAAAATGATTGGGTGGTTTTGTTTAAAATTTTCAAACTGTCCAATCATGCGTCGATACATGTCCCATCTTGATTTCCATGATTGATGCAGTAAACACTAATCTCCAATTTTGAGAGCAATAATGATTAGTAAAACCATTCTGAAAAGAGCAAAGATAATGATTAACGTTCAATGTGATACAAGAACTTGCTTCAGCAAGTTTTCACTATATCAGGAAAGAACAATACAAGTTTTTTTCTCGCACCTCTTTCACAAAAAACAGCCTCCTGCTAAAATCCTTTATATTTATGGCCATTTGATACATGTATGAATACCCAATATACCTTTATAATAAAAGCTCCCGGGCATAACATCCCTCACCATTGACCTTGCCGATAAGTATACAATATGATTAGGTTCCACTTGGTCCCACATATTCACGTTGTATCTTCTCTAACTGCTACTTGGATTTTTGGAGTAGGTCACAAAAGAGTCATTGCTCGAATCATCAGACTTGGAGTTTTTCCAGAACCACTCGACTCAAATGGCAGCTCTGGATTATCTTGTCTCTCTGGAAAGTGATGTATTTGTTCCAACATATGATGGAAATATGGCTAAAGTTGTTGAAGGACATCGCAGGTACTTAATAATGGTATTATTTAACTTGTTTCTTCCTTGTTATCTTGGATTCATTCTTGTGATAATCTTGGTTTTCCTTATATTATCTCTTTGCGCAAGATGAGAAGGGTGAAAGATAGCTAGCATACATTCATAGCTACATCCACTTCTCATTGCTTGATCACCATACTTGCTTAATTCGAAGTTTTGATCTATAGAAGGACAATATCGCTCTTTTTGTTCGATACAACACCAAAATAGATTTAACTGAGCTAAAATTTTGAAATTCTTCACGAACTAGGCAGCCATTTTGAGATCTGCTTTTTGGCCGAGTAACGAATATTTCTTGTGATAAGATTCTTTGCCCTTATTCTTAAATGCTTCTTAAGTTTCGCCCTGCTTATGGGGTCTAATCAATACTTTCAAAGAATAATATTTGAATATTAACTTCACTGATCTCATACAAAATCAGCATTGTAATTAACTTGTACTTTGTAAGTTATCGTTTCCCTTTGAACATTATTCATCTTTCTCATTTGTTGTTCGTTTGGTATACTTTAAAATGTTTCAGATATCTAAGTTTCAAGAAGACAATTCTACCTGACAGAAAAGTTTTAATTGGATTGATAGATCTATACAATAATGGATCTCTAAGCTGGGATGAATTCTCATCTATTGTCAAAGAAACACATGCAAATCGTACAGGGAGCCCCAAGCAACGAGTCATAATACCAGACAAACCAAAAGAAGAAGATTATTTTTATGCCAATCCACAAGAATGCTTGCAGCAAATTGATGAAGTATCAAGCAGTTCGTGATTCTTGATTTGTACACAACTCGTGTGCATAAGTATTTAAGGATATCGGTCACAATCGGCACAGAGTTTCGGAAGTGTTCGGAAGTGCAAGTATGGTCCCTATGAAGTTTAGGATTGAATACCACCAGCATTCCAGAATATGTTGGTAGAAATTTGAGGCTTCAGACATGGTTCTATAATTTTTCTACGTGTCATTCAACTGTTTTGGTTTATTAGGCTGGTGCATAGATTGAACCTGACTCTCAGGACTACAGAAAATAACAGCAGATATAGATTGATTCTCTGCAAGATCTCTCGGTTTCCGTTCTTAACAAATAATTCACTTTTAACGGCATGTGAAAGGTGTTTATTATGGAATACAGTATAAGGTGATTATAGAAAAAGCCGGTAATTTTTTTCTGTATTAGTTGTACAATTGTGTCTAGTACCACATTCCAAACATGCCTGGAAAGTATTTTTGCCATGTAACATGCTCATCCGAGGAGCATGTTTTGATACACTAGAACGTATATTTTGTAATGACAATTTAACCCATCACCTTCACAGAAACCATAAAGGTAATGAAAAGCACGCAGATGTTGAGAATTCAAAAGGAGAAATATCTCCAAAAAGCAATTATAAGCAACCAAAATAATTAGCAAAACAGACAAAAATTTCTCATAATAGAAACGCCCAAGAACAAGAAATTTATGGCACCCTCTCTACCGTTACACCTCCCACCAAAAATTTTGCTCCTCCCTATGATTCATACACATTAATTGTGCAAAAGAGTTAGTACTTTTATTTTTGTTGAATCTTTGTCTTTGAAAGACATTTTGGCTGATTGTTTTGAAATTTGACTTGGGTTAGCGGAGTTATCATGGAGAGGAGTCGGCCGTGATAGTCGATCTTGATTCGATTTATAGTTGGTTGATATATTAATGAGAAAAAATATTTAGAATATCAATTTTTCTTTTCAACTTTTCTTATTCATAAAATACTGAGTTAAATTAGTAGAATTGAAAAAAAATAATAATAAAAATAAATTAAAATAAATTAAAAAATTAAAAAAAAAATTAAAAAAAAAAACTCTCATAGCCCACCACTTACGCTCAATTTGTTGCCTTCCATATTCTTGACCCCCCTTTCAAGCATTGTTTAGATCCCAAATCTTCATTAATTTCTTCCATCTCTTCCATCCTAATCTTCAAAATCTCACTCATGTTGTAATTGAAACCTTAACCCTAATTTGAAAATTCCAACTTCAATTTTTTTTTCTTTACACTACTAAAACACAATTTTTCACCTATGGTAATTAGAAACGGATTATCAGTTGATAAAAGTAATTCACTTTCAACTACGATAATCAGCAACGGATTTTCCGTGGATAATGATAATAACTCTTTACCAACGGATATTCTGTGCCTAATATGACCATTTATCATTTGAATCTTTCACCTACTGATATTTCGTTGGTAATTAAAAACGGATTATCCGTTGGTAAAAGTAATTCAATTATCCCACATCGGAAGTTTACAACAAAGTCTTTGAAATTATCCTCTATAAATTTGTGGTCCAATAAGTGGTTAAACGATATTTTGGCTTTTCAATTCAATTGTTTAAAAGTTTTAAAAATTTTATAATTATTAAATAAATAATAATAACAATAATAAAAAAATAAGTAAATAATTTTTTTTTTTTTTTACCATGCCTCACACCTATACAACTATTTACAACATTGATTTTTACAAATTGTAATGGTAGACATTTACCAACGGAAAGTCGGTTGGTATTCATTAAGATTTTTACCAACGGAATTTTTGTTGGTAAAAAATTCCCACATTACCAACGGAATTTTCATTGGTAAAATGTTTACTCTTTACTTACAGCACAATCCGTTGGTAACTATCAATGACCCTCAAATTAACAATGGATTTGTGGTTGCAAATATTCCGTTGGTAAAGAGTAATTGTAACAGATATCAAGCTTTTAGGAATGGAAAATCCGTACCTGAAATCATATTTTTTAGTAGTGTTAATTATGTTTGAATAGCATAACACCTTGAACAAGGACACGTCGACTCCATTCAAGAATCAACTATATGAAAAGTGATAACCATGCAATGTCATCTTATTTTTTTGGCCTGCAACAAAGCTTCAAGATTCTAAAAGGCTTGAAGATTATAATAATTCTCTTATCCTTAGTATCTCTCAATTATGAAAAGTTCCATTCACGGGGATGCATAGGCGTGGCCCTGAACTTCATTTAGAAGAAGTAAAAGCAAGTCTTATTTGTTTAACTTCTTGTACATGTCTGATATGTTAAATAATGTCCAAAATAACTTATTTTTGTATTTCATAAACTATCGCAATTATTGGTACATATTGAATATGTTGTGAACAAGCTGCATGAATTTTTGAATGTGGAAATTACATAAATCCAGGTGTTTAAAGATGATAATTCAAAAATCAGTGTTGAAGTTTCATCATTCATAACTCAGGTCCCTATGTATTAAAATCCTAATTCATTTTATCTCTCTCTCTCTCTCTCTCTCTCTCTCTCTCTCTCTCATTGTAAGCTCCGCCTTCATCCATTCTCTATGTACGATTGTACTAATCCGACAATTGTTGCCGCCCGTCGTGTGGTGTGGTGGCGCCACACAATTCAATCGATTGTTGGTAGCGCTGAGTTGCAGGTTGTAGAATAGGGCTGCTGTGGGTATGCTTTGTGTGGGTAAAGGCTACTGTGGTGCCGGAGTTTGGGTGCTGTGGTGGTGGGACGACGACTATGGCTGATGTTAGAAGGGGATTGGCGGCGCTTGGAAGTTCGAAACCTAGGCTGGAGTCTGTGTTGGAAGGGGGTTTGAGGTTTTTTGGGTGTTATCTCTCTTTTTTTTTCTTTTTTTTTTTTGTGCCGATCAATAGGTAATGATTTTGGGGGTTTGTTTGTTGTATTTTCAGATCTTGGCTTTCGCTGTGGCTGTGGTGGTGGTACTGGTGGTGTTGGTAGTAGGTGCGATGTGAATGGTGGTGGTGGTGGTGGTGATTGTCGTTGATGCAAGTGGTGGAGGTGGTGGTATGTGTGCTGATTTATGTTATTTGTGTGGTGGTGCTGGAGATCGATGATGTGAGATGGGTGGCGGACACAGGTGGTAACGGTGGTCACAGATGATTTGATTGTTTGTGACCAAGAAATTGGAGTATGTGACCAACTATTCAGTGTGACATAAAAATTTAATAATCTGTGACCAAGCAATTTGATCTCGAAATAATCTGTGACTTGTAAATTTTTTATTTGTGACCTTCAAATAAACTGTGATCAATTAATTAGATGATATGTGACCAGTAAATAAATCTGTGACCAATAATTATAAATCTGTGATCATTAATTGTGTAACTACGATTTTATTATATTTAATTAATAAATCTTTTAAATTAATTCCACAGATACCTGAATCACGAATTTTTAAACTTTGTACCTGGTTTGTGAATTGGTGTAAACAATAAACCTAAAATATGATTTTTTCCCCCTTTTGAATTCTATTGCAGCCCATGAAGCATATTGTGATTTCAATACTATGAAATTTTTAATGTGACGGAGTTTTTTACGTACTAAGTTATGTTGATGAGATTTTTCTCATATTATACCCAAGTAGTTTCTACATTTTTTTGAAAATGTATATGTCTATTTAATAACTTATGTCGTTCGATACAATATCTCATAAGATCATGCATAATTTTAATCATACTTGACATATTTTATGTCTACTCACATAAATTTGATTTTCTACATGATATGTGACATACTAGTTCTAGCTTCAATATGACCACTGATTTGAAATGGTGAAGGTGTTTATTTTATAACTTCTGCCATTGTTTCTACTAATAGATAAAAACGTGTAGGGGTTGTATCGAATGCAACAAGCTGGTGTGACTTGATTTCCATGTGCATTATATGTATCAGTTATGGTGCAATTTAATTTAATTTAATTTAATTTAATTTTTATTTATTTATTTTTTTTAACTATGTACGTAACATATCTATTTTAAAGGTTGAACCCAACCTTGAGAGCCCCCCCTCGCCGCCCCGTCCCTGGAATATCGTGAGGGAGGTAAATCGCGGGATGTGCCCCAACAGGCCAGGGAACAAGAGCTTGTCTATATATTGGTGCCCACAAAGAGTTCAATTCCATATTTCAGAAATCGAACCCTCATACTATGGCTGCCAGCAAGGTTGAGACTACTTCACTTCTGTCCTTTGCACCACTGGGATATGCCCGAGGGGACATAACATATCTATTTTTTTTATCGGTAAATGTGAATATATAGATAAAAAATGTACCATGTACAAGTACACCGGGCATATCCGGGCGAGACAATGTCCATAATCAAATACAAGTATACCAGGCATACCCGGGCGAATCAATGTCCATAAACATACATAAAAGATCAATGATCAAAATACTAATAAGCCCCATTAGCAAGAGAATCAAAACATTTGGATACAAAACGAATATTGCTTTGTATACGTGTGTTTTGATTTTCCTAACAATGGATTCAACTTGCACTTTCGTACCATCGAAAACACAACAATTCCTAGCCATCCAAATGTAGTAGACAGTAGTAGCAAAAGCAATCCGTTTAACACGGCTCGGCCAACTCTTCCCCCGCACTTCTTTTTTCAACCATTTAAAAGAGCTCGGAAAAGTAGACATGGAATGCCTAATACCCAACCAAAATCTGATATGTTTCCATACTTTGGAAGTGACCCGACATCCAAAAAACAAGTGCTGGACAGATTCGTCCAGCACCTCACACAGTGGGCAGATTCGGTCCATCTCCAAGTGCAACAGCTTGTCCCTCGTCTGGAGCTTACAATGGGCAGCTAACCATAAAATAAATGCGTGTTTGGGAGTGATGGAACCATCCCAAACCGTTCTGGACTAGAGAAGAAGTCCCCCCTTCGGTCTGAAGTAGTCATAAGCTGCTGAAGTGGAAAATTTCCAGAAACTGTCCAGCTACACAATCTGTCCAATGCTAAAATCCCATCACTTTGGGCAGCAATAATGCTGTCCCGGATGTCAACCAGCTTCTTAATGAGAGGGGAGTCTTGTTTCTTCATTCTATACACCCAAAAATATGTCCCTTGAAGGTAGACTTCATTGATCCATTTAATCCAAAGTGAGTCCTTCTTACAATGGATGTTCCAAAGTGTTTTGGAAAGTAGTGCTGAATTCCAACATTTTAAGTCCCTAAAATCGAGCCCCCCCTCAACCTTAGGGAGGCAAATAATGTTCCAAGCAACCAAGGGTTTCTTACCCCCCAAAGGAAACTACGGCAAAGACTATTGATTTTAGAAATTACCGTAGCCGGGATAGGGAGTATAGAAAGCCAAAAACATTCCACACCTTGAAGCACGGCTCGCACAAACTCAGTCCTACCTGCATATGATAGGGAGGAAGTCAACAAAGAACCAATATAAGATGAGATTTTATTTGTGAGTACATCATAAGAACCGACTTTCAATTTTTCCACCGCAAGTGGGATGTCCAAGTACCTAAACGGCATGGAGCCAATGGGGAGATTTGTGAGAGCTAGAATATCCTCCAAATCTTTACCATGAATACCCATGGTGTAGATGCAAGATTTCCCAACATTTATATTCAATCCCAACATGCCTCCAAAAATCGAAAGGCAATTCAATAAAATATCCAAAGACATGACATCCCCTCTAGCAAATAACATGAAGTCATCCGCAAAAGTCAAGTGTGTGATCTTCAATTGAGCACACTTGGGGTGAAAATTGAAATTACTATCCGAAGTAGCCACCTTTAGCAATCTAGATAGGTATTCATGGGAAAGAATAAACAAGTAAGGGGAGAGTGGATCACCTTGCCGAAGACCTCTTTTGCCCTTGAAAAACCCATGGAGGCCGCCATTTATCGCTATGGAATAAGATGGAGAAGTCACACATTTATAATCCATTCAACAAAGATATTGGGAAACCCCAACCCTTTAAGAACTTCTTCAAGAGACTCCCAATTCACCGAATCAAAGGCGTTAGTAAGGTCTATTTTGAGGAGGCACCGTGGAACAACCCTCTTATGGTTATATTGTCTCAAAAGTTCTTGTACCAAGTGAATATTTTCAATCATACTCCGACCCTCAACAAATGCGGATTGAGCTTGGTCCACAATAGAGTCAAGCATAGGCTTCAACCGAGAGGCAAGTATTTTAGTGATTTATAAAAAACGTTGCAACATGCAATAGGACTATAATCCCCCACCGAAGAAGAATGAGTACCCTTAGGTACCAAGGCTAAAATGGTGTGATTAATTTGCTTGAGAAGAGATCTCAAAACAAAGAATTCCTCAATAGCATCCATGAAATCATTACCAATGATGTCCCATGATTTTTTGAAGAGACAAGAAGTAAATCCATCCGACCCCGGGGCTTTATCATCCCCGATGCTAAAAAGAGCTTCTTTGATCTCTTACCTTGTAATATCCCGAACAAGTAAACAAGCATTTTCCTCCGACAACATCGGTCCGTTTCTAAGAACATCCACACTAGCATGTTGTCCAACAGTTTTTCTCCCCAATAATTCACTATAGAAATGTGTGAATTCGGTGCCAACCTCCTCAAGAGAGGTAGAATAAAACCCGTCTCTCATAAGTATAGCCAGGATGAAATTCCTCTTGACATTTCTGTTGGCCAAAGAATGAAAATACTTGGTACATTTGTCACTATTCTTCAAATGCACATACTTTGCTTTTTGATAATAGAAACTCCTTTCCGCTTCACAAAGAGTGTTTGCCTCTTTTCTCAAATGAACAACTTCACATTTAAGATGAAGATTGTCTCAGTCATTGTGCAATTCAACATGAGCCAAATCAAGTCTATTGGAAGCACTTTCGGCTCTAGAGGAAATGTGAGCAAAATGTTTGGCATTCATCTTCTTAAGCAATCCTTTGAGGCTATGAAGTTTCTTGCAAAGAGAAAATTGCTTGGTGCCAACAAAAACTTTACTCCAACCAAGAGACACCAAATCAAAGAACTCATCATGCCGAGTCCACATGTTGAAGAATTTAAATGGCCTTCTCTTTCTTTCTACTTTCCTAAACAAAGTGACAATACAAGGGGAGTGATCGGAAAGGCATCCCTGGGGGACGAAGTTAGCAAAACTATCAAAACTCTCAATCATCCATGCCTCATTTACCATAGCACGATCAAGTTTACTCCAAACGAAATTATTATTCCAAGTAGAGAAACACCCGATCGATCTCAAGTCTGAAAGTCCAATATTTTGGCAACACATATCAAAATCTTTAATCTCATAAGGCGTGATATCGGCCCCATTACTCTTTTCATCAAAATTAAGCACATTGTTGAAATCCCCAAGAACCAACCATGGCGAAGAGCAATTTAGGCCAAAAACTTCAAGATCATGCCAAAGGGGCCTACGGGGGACAATAATATTGAATGCATAAACAAAACTAACAAAGAAGGTACGCGAAGTTACCTTGCAAGTAATAGAGTAATGAATAAGTTGTGTCGTAGCCTCCAACACATCCAAATCAACGTTCAAGAAATCCCATAGAATCAAAATCTGCCCGGCATCATGATAGGCGAAATTATTTGCAAAGTTGAAACCACCAAATTTATTTCTCATGACTCTCGAAAGCTTCGAGTTATCCAATTTTGTTTCCAAAATCCCCATGACGTCAATGTCATTACGTCTCATCAAATCTTTAACCCCATTGCGTTTGAGGGGCGGGTTAAAGCCCCTAATATTCTATGAGGCAATCTTCATATTGATGAAGGGAGGGCAGCGCCCTTCTTCTTTCCAGATTTTTTCGCCAACTTCCCATCGTCAACTACTTTTGATTTTAGGTTCTCTTTCGGGTATGGAACCGACGTAGACATAGCATTTCCACCCTCCAAAAAAGCCGGCCCCTTAGAGGGCTGGACATTGCCATTTTTCAGCAGTAAGGGGGGGTTATTTGCATCAGATTTGCTATTATGGACAGCACCTTTCTTCCTGTTTCTAACCTCAACAAAAGGGGGGTTAACTAGATCAGTTGCTGCCCCTTTTTCACCAATATTTACCCCCGGAATGCCACAAATATTTTCCACATTCGGAGCCTGTTCTGGACGAGCTGAAGGGCTGAAAATCTGCCGGGTTTCAGACGTTCCAACAATGTCATTCTGGCCAATAATCGAAATCCCAGCCTGGGGGGCAGAATTAAGTGTCTCCCCATCCTTCTTCTTTCCAACAATCACCGGGGGAGGCTTCTTTTGGAAGTTACAACTCTTTAACGTGTGCCCAAAAATTTTACATGATCCACAGAATTTCGGTTCATGCTCATACACAATCTCTTGCTCGCGTTGAGTACCATTTGGGAGCCTAATCTAAACGCCCCTTTGTAGCCGTGACCTTATCAGTGGATATAGGCTTACCCACCTTAGTCACAATTTTCCCCAAAGATGTGGTGTTCCAGAATTCCAAGGGTAACCTCGGAAGATTAATCCATACGGGCATCGTGCTCACATCCTTGTCGTCAAAATCAAAATATCGCGGCATGATTTTGAGCATGAGTGGTCTCCCATACACCAAGTAGGGGCCCCCGTGTAACACACTCAATCTCGCAACCTCCGAATCAAATTTGAAGACAAGCCATCCACTTGAATGCACAAAATACTTATAGCTCACTTTCCATGAGTCACACAATTGCAACAACGATACTTTCCCGGGGAATCTTCCGGCAAAGTATCCAAAAAGTCCATACTCCCATGTATTTTCTAAGTTATCCTCATCTGTTTCATCCAAAATAACTTCCTCCTATGATGAGTGAATAGCCATCAACTTAATATTCTCATCAAGTTTCCTATTATCCTTAAATAGGTTAACCCAAGGTGCTTTAACATTCTTTATAGGATCACTTTCAGCAACATTAGCATTTTTGTTTTCAGAAATAACCTCATAATCCAAACACTCCGTATCCGTGTCATGATCACCAAGTGTTAAAGAAACACTAGGAGATGGAATACTAACCTTACTCTTCCCATCAACAAGGGGCAAAACAGGACTAGCATCAAGTTGAACGGCAGAAACATGCTCATTAATATTCTGCCGACCGGATTGAGAAACGAGAGGGGTCGACCCAGATTTAATTTTCTTCTTCGCGATAGTAGGACACTCGGCCAAGAAAACAAAAAAATCAAAGGCAGAAAAATTGATCCCAACAAACCGGTAGAAAATAATCACCCAACCAAAGGAAATTGACGTCAAAAGATAATCCACCAGAATGTATTCCCGGCCAAGATGAAATTGACGTCAAAAAGGTTGACCAAATGGACCAGCAAGCCACCAAAATCAAGGGAGAAAATATGATTCCCAGCAAAGACAGAATATAATCCCCCAACAAAACTGGAATTGACATCAACAAACATAAACAAACCCGGCAAGCAAAAGCCCAAATGATCTCCAGCAAACCGGCAGAAAATCCAAGCCCAGCCGTCCAAATAGGCCCAACACAAGAGAGTAGAAAGGCCCAACGAAAACTGAAAATCCAGCCCAAGAAGAGGAATAGCAATCAGCAAGAAAAAAGACCAAACGAGGCCCAAAGAAAGCACCACAAACCAACCAACAGCAGGTCCAAAGTAAATCCAGGAAAGGCCTAATCAATAACTGAAAAACCGCCCAAGAAGAAGAATAAATACCAGCCCAATAAGTAAAGCCAAACAGCCCAACAGAACACAGAGGCCCAAGGAGATAATCAATAACAGGCCCAAAAGAAATCCAAGAAAACCAAACTGACCAGCAACAAAAGCCCACACTCCAGCCCAAGGAGGGGCCCAAAGAGATGTCCAGCAAGCTACAAAATAATAGAGGCCAACTGTCCAACAAATAATAGGAACTAGACCAAAGAGCAGCCCAAAAACCGTCCGGTAACCCTGTGAAACCCGGCCCAAGCAAGAGTCAAACGGGTCAGCCACCAACCCCTGAATATGTTATAGCAAAATAGCAAAAAAACAGAAAGTAGAGGTTGCACAGCAGGAGATAAACTGAAACAAGGCAGGGGAGCAGTTGGGACGTCAAATCAATTTCAAAAACAAATCAAATGTGACATGCAAGGATGCATACACAATACTGACAAACAACCAAGAACACCATGGATGATGGAGAACACAAAACCCGAACAGAAATGAATTCCAAACAAACTAATGGCAGAAATGAATACCCAGTGGGAGGAAAACATAAACTGGACTGAATTTTTCAAAAAAACCTGGTCACCCCTGTAGCACTGAGGAACAGCCATCTTCAAGTCTTCAAGGAAGCCCAAGAACGACCATGAGCACAGCCACATAGGTGCAGAGAAAACCAACCGAACAGCAAAGAGATACCAAGCAAAACGAGTGGCTGAACTGAATACCCAGCAAAAGACCAAAACTGGACAGAATATCCAACTGAAGATGGAGAAGGTGAAAAACCGTCTAGCAAAACAAAGCTCCAAACTCCAGCAAAATAACAACAACAATGGAAATGTGAAGTGAACTAAAACACAGATTGTAGAATCCAGCAAGCAGAAAACCGAAAAACCAACAAGCAGAAACTGTAGAACCCAAGCTGTGTGAATACAAACTCGAACCAGTAGCTCAGTAGAAGATGAACATGGAGGCAGCAAAACCTTCAAAACTCACGAAATGAAGAACCCAAAATGTCCTTACCATAACCGAAACTTGGAGCTGTAGGGATCGGAAATGGAAGCACACGAACTCTTCAAAAAACTCAAAACGAGCACCACAATAACAGTAACCAATATGTTTAATCAGATTTTCACCCAAGAGAAGTAAAAATCTTACAAAACACAAGAAGAAATGAAGGAAATCACTCACGTCAAGTGATCACCAAAGTGGGATTTTCTCTCACTAGGTTGAGAGCATCTCTCTCTAACTCCTTTTTGACTAACTGAGAGCTCTTTCTCATAACATATCTATTTTAATTTGGATATGAGGATGCTTTAGAATCAAAATGTAACTTATTGTGGAATATTGTTCGGAGTACATGTTTTAAAACATAATATGTTACGTTTGAATGCTTTTAGAGTTTTCGGATGACACTGTAATGATGGACAAGATATCACGAGGTTCTCTAAAACTCTAGCATATTGACACATTCTAAAAAGACAAGGACGGAACAAAAAGATAAACGACAATTTGGGAGGAGATGATGAAAAGAACCAACAAATTTGGATGCTAAAGTACATAAAATCTTGGCTTGGACAAAGCATTTGCAATACCCCTTATTGTAGTCAATCCAGCAGTAAATACTGGAATTAGCATTTAATTTGGTTGTAATTAATGTCAGCTCAATATGGGCACCTTTTTTTTTTTTTTTAACAGCCCATCAGGCATTTATTCATAATAACCCTCACTTAAGGTCGAGGAAAACCGTAATAACAACCGAATAATCAATAAAACTAACAAATAGACTAAGCTCCTATCAATATAATCAAACAACAGAAAATAGCCTATTTTTTTCTGACGAATGTACAACACACCCACCCTATCTAAATGGATCGACCCTCGACAAAATCTTGGTAGTTCCATAAATGATAAGAATCGTTCTGTCTTCCCCGTCGCACCTAATTTCGCCAACTCATCCGTAGCCTGATTAGCTTCTCTGTACTGATGCACGATGTGATGGTCAAAATTCTTGAGAATTTCTATTAAATCTTCCCAAAAATCCCACAAGTACCATAACGTACATTTCCTTATCAAAATCCAAGAGACTAACAACAGTGAATCACATTCAATATCAACCTAATTTAATCGCAAATCCTTACACAAGGTCAATCCATCAATAAGCACTCGCAACTCCGCCTCGTTGTTAGTGCCATATTCGAAGAAAGACGAAAAACCTGCTATCAACCTGCCCATTTCATCTCTCACAACCTCACCACCGCTAGCCATACCTGGATTGCCTAGGCAGCTTCCATCTACATTTAGTTTTACTTTGCCAGTCGCAGGTTTAGCCCATTTAACGATCCGAAGAGGTCTCTCTTATGTCACCATTGGATTAATATCAAAGTTTCTAAGAAGTAATTCTTCTGACCTCGAGAGAGCTCGTTCCTTTTTCAGATTGGATGACACTTGTTGTAACCAAAATTTTATCGAGCGAAAAATCTGCTCCACAGTTTCATGAACACCTTCCATTCTCGCTTTACAACGCCTCATCCATAGCCTCCATGTCAGTATAGTTGGAAGTAGGCCTTGTAAGCACCCAGCTTGAGATTTTTTATCTGCTCTGGCCCACCATAAATGTACTCTATCATGCTAGTTTTGTTTAGATCTCCACCGAATGCCCAAAGCCGCTGAAACTTTCCTCCAAACTTCATTTGCCACCTCGCCTGTACTCAGAACATGGTTAGTAGTTTCTTCCTTTCCTGTAAGGCAGCAATCACAATGAAAAACTAAGGCTACACCCATTTGACGAACTCTACTATCAACACTTAGAGCTCCAGAAAAAGCCTTCCACATTATCACTGAAAATCTTTTTAGGAGTGCAGAATGCCATACCCATCTTCCCCAAGAGGTTTGAGGATTCCGAATTCTAATCATGTCCTATGCACTCTTGGAAGAAAAGGTTCCTTGACTACTCGATTTCCAGATAAGAACATCATCCCCCTCTCTACAGTTACTCACCTTAGCCATAACACTAGCGGCTTTGTCTTCCCTTACAAGTTGCAGTAATTGATCCACATTCCATCCACTGTCCAAACAAATATCTTTGATTCTAAGAGTTGGTTGATCAATATGTGATGCATGTCTTGCCAACAGGCCATCCTCTAACCAATGAGCATACCAGAAGGAGATAGAGCCCTCCCTGATCCTCCATTGACTATTGTTAATCACATCAGGGATGTATCCCACAATAGAGCACCAAAATCGAGAACCTATACTTCGCAAAGTGGAAACACCAATCAAACCATGCTTAGTATATTTTGCCCGAAAAAAAGTTGCCCATAAGCACTCTGATGACAGTAATTTCCATGCAAACTTCATGTGCAGGGCACGCTGGACATCTTCCAATTTTCTAACTCCGATCCTCCCTCGACCACCGGTCTACAGAGTTTATCCCAAGAACACCATTTTTTCCTAGTTCTCCCATTAGCCTCACCCCAAAAGAAAGATGAGATGATGGAATTAAGTCTCTTAAAAATAGATTTTGGAACATTCAACACGGACAACAAATGGGTAACCATGGACATGACGAATTAAAATCAGTCTGCCCCCTTGCGACATCAATTGCAGCTTTCACCCTGCAATTTTCTTTTTAATTTTCTCCACCAAAGGCTCGAGATGGTGGGCAGTTAATCGACCTTGGACCACCGGAACTCCCAAGTAAGTAATTAGGAATTGACCCTCCTTAAAACTAGTATCCCTTAGTCTTTCTCCTTTCGAAGCCACTGAACAATTTTTTGAGAAAAATATAGCAGTCTTCTCCTTGTTGATCTTTTGACCAGACCAGCTCTAATATAGACATAGAACCTTCTCGAGTTCTCTGATAGACTTTTTCCCTGCATTGGCAAAAATTACTAAGTCATCAGCATACATCAAATGAGTTATTGCACTTGCACCCCTAGGGTGTGAGAAGTACCCAATCCGTCCTTCCTGAAAACCCCTCTTCAGCAATCTAGTCAGCACCTCTTGCATGATAATAAACAAATAAGGGGATAATGCTTGGCGAAGACCATGGGAAGATTTAAAAAAACCTTGCATGGTTCCATTCATCATCACTGAGAACCATGGTGTAGATATACATTGATCAATTAACTTGCAAAACCTCGTCGGGAAACAAAAAGATGATAACACATGAAGCAAGAACTACCACTCCACTCTATCATATGCTTTAGCCATATCTAATTTAACCATCACATTTCCACCACGAACCTTTTATTAAGAGAATTCACTAATTCTTGAGTGAGTGTAATGTTCTCAAAAATACTTCGACCTAGAATGAAGGCTCCTTGGTCTTGAGAGATAATCTTAGAAAGAATATCACTCATTCTCTGAACCAAAATCTTTGAAAAAATTTTATACACAACACAGCAAAGGCTGATTGGTCTAAACTTATCAAAACCACTAGGATTTTCCACTTTTGGTATCAACATAATATATGATGATGTATAAAATCGAGGTAGCACCCCTCGTTCAAAAAAAATCCTTTGCTGCCTCTACTAAATCCCCTTTAATAATATCCCAGCACTAGATAAAGAAAGCTGACCCATATCCATCAAGCCCAGGTGTGCTATCCATTGGTATCGAAACAGTTGCAGCTCGAACCTCATCTTCTGTCCGTAGGGCAAATAGCATATCTCCTTCCTCTTGTGAAACTGCTGACTCAATGATGTATGATAAATCTGGCAAAGTTCAGCTTTCCTCGCTCATAAGAACAGTCTGAAGATATTTCACAGCTTCTAAATGTATTTGTTGCGGTGTTGAGAGAATAGTTCCGTCTGTAAGCTTCATCTGATTCAACTTTGATTTTCTGCGTCTTTACGATACTACAGCATGATAAAATTTAGAATTGTTATCACCATCAGTCAACCATCTCTTTTTTGCTAGTTGAGACAATCTAATTTCCTCTCTCATTTGCCACTCCTCCAATTCAATTTTAGAAATCAAATATTCTTGTTCTATATCATCGGAATATGTGTCTTGTAACCTGTGATCGAGAGCCTCCACCCGTTCTTCTAACTCCAAAATAATATTATCTACCTTACCAAAAACCTGTTTATTCCACACTTTCAAAGTGTTTTTAGTAGCCTTCAGTTTAGCCGCTAATTTTTCTAATCCACCCAACATCATACCACTGTCTCCCAATTTCCATGCTGCCTCCACACATGGCAAAAAGCACTTATGCTAGCACCACATTCGTTGGAATCGAAATGGGATCGGGCCATAAGAAACATACTGTTTTTGCAAGTGAATAGTCATAGGACGGTGATCTGAAGATGTACCTGGCAGGTACTTCATATTTGCCTCTAGGAAATCATGCAACACGTCCTCACTTACCAGTGTTCTGTCTAGCCGCGCCCAACTTCTAGTCAAGCCTTCATGTCCATTGCACCAAGATAATTTTCTACCAAAAACTGGTAGCTCTAAGAGATAACACTTATCAATGCAATCTTTAAAATCTTCCATAGCCTGAAGAGGTCTAGGGTGGCCACCCACTCGCTTAGAGTCATTTCTAATGATATTGAAATTGCCAGAAACTACCCAAAGAAGGCCAATCACCCTAACATTCTCCAACTCCTGCCAAAGTTTCCTCCTTTCTGAAACATTATATTTCGCATAAATGAACGAAACTAACATCTTATACTCCCCCTTCATGAAAATTCCATGTAAGGCTTGATCCGAAAGATGAACCCACTCAACCTTGTAATCATCACTCCAAAAAAACCCATAATTTACCTCCTTTCTCATTTGATATAAAATTTGGTAACTTTATTTTACAAGCCAAAAACTTCATTTTTTCTTCCACATGAAAAGGTTTTGCAATCCCTAGTATTTCCACATTAAATTTCCTCACCAACTTTCGTATCCTTCCTTTTGATATGGCCACCCCTTGCACGTTCCACATTAAGAAATGACCAATTATAAGTCAAGTTTAGCAGGGCGTGCTCGCACCCTCTGTGGTGCTCTAGTACCCTGAGGGATAGTCTTCTTTAATTCAGCATATGTTTTATGGACCTCTAGCTCAGAACAGTAGTCTGGATCTTTCTCGCCTCGCTTCCTCTTATTTTCTTTTCACCATCAGACTCATGGAGGATAGGGCTCTGTACAATCTGCTGCTGTTCATTGGAAACACACTGCACATTCAAATCATCGCCTTCAATAGGATACCCCTCCTGCACTATTGATATGTGGCCATCTTCAACCTCCAAAATTTCGTCAACCATTTTGAAGTGGCTCCACACTATCAAAACTGGTAGAATCTTCCTTCCATGCACTTGTTTCAGTATATGTTGGATTACCTCTCATAGTCATCTCCTCACTTGATTCATCGTCCAACAGTAAATCTTTCATATTTTCAGTTTGAGCATTCTCTACCACATTTAAACCACTATCTCTCGTATTCACTGCGGGGCCAACCTCCTTAACAGATACTATTGCATCACACAAGATTCTCCCTTCCTTAACTTGTTTTCCTGCCCCCACCGATGAGTCCTCCTTCTCTCTTCAAGTAATCTTTGGTTGTTCAAATAATTCTTTCACCTTGTCTTTATGTTTCTCTCCATCCTGTCCCTTCTTCTTACACCATTCCTGTCTCTCCATCACTTTTCGAGGGAGCACACGCTTCTGTCCAACCCGACATACTGATTCAGGATGACCTTGCCGACCACATTTCATACAATAGAAACCTGGCTTCTCATACCGCACCTCCTGCTAATGCATCTTGGATGAAGTAACTATAGGAAAACCACTCACTAGTTCGGCAAGCAAATCCACTTCAATACAAATTCTAGCACCAGTGGCCCGAGAACGATTCATTGTTGCATGAATTGAGAAATTATAGAAAGCAGTTCTTCTGATATTATTTTATATATATAGTTTTTCTATTAGATGGACTTATTTGTAGTATATCAAGAAATATTTATATTTTAATGGGTAAATACGATTGTTTTCCTAAAGATAACTCCAATCATGGCTGAATTTATAGGGGATTTGCATGGGCAATAGTTTAGGCCAGTCCAAGTCTAGAAAGAACAAAATACTAAAAAAATAAAATAAAGGGAAATACACCCACTCAACAGTTGATATGAAATTTCTGGGATTTTACCCTAGTCAACGTATTGAGATGTCACGGATTAGGCCATTCACTTTTATTTTATGTAATTGAGCTTGAATTATTAGTGGGTAACCCAAGCCCTTCACTGTTAGGGTTGTATATATGGTTTTGTTTTGAAGAATTAGAATCAATGAATTGAATTGTGGCTTTGCTGCCCACCGTCTTCTCTTCCCCTCTCTTGTTCTTCTTCTTCCCTATCCCTATTCTTCTCTCTGGTAAGCTTCTTCTCCTGCTTACTCTTCTTCTCTTCAGCTTTCTCTTTTTATCTCTCTATCCTTCTTACCCTACTTTTTCTGTTGTTTCTCTACTGGTCCATTTCTTTCTCTGTTATGTTTGTTATTTTACTTGCAATCCTCTACATTGTAATAGAACTTATCAGTTAATGAGATGAAAATTAGTTGTCATTGTTAGTTACTGGGTATTGATTGCTGGTTATTGGTTGAGTTTTACAGAAATTGAACTCCCCTGCTTATTATTTTAAATTTTGTGGTGATTTTGAGTGAAATTTAGCTTGTTTTGGTTGAAGATCAGCTCAAATCATTACATTGAGATGGATTTGATTTCTGGGTTTTCATTCTAGGTTTGGATTGGTTGGAATGGAATGAGATGGGAGTTGAGGGAGCAAGATGAAGGGAGTGAGGGTGTGTGGGGGAGGCAATTTTCTTTTCTTAAATACACTACATTCATTAAAAGACACTAAACTTTATTCATTATCACACTTGTACCATTAATTTTTTCTTCGTCATAGATACTGTGTTTTGGCACACTTATTTTATATTTAAATAAACTTAAATATTGATTAAAGGAGCGAAATTCTATTCACAATTGGATGATAATTGCTTTTGTAGGTCAAAATCATCGAAGGAAATGGAAACAAGGCAAAAGGACGAAAAGGGGGACTAAAAGTGTAAAATTGTGAAGTTGGAGACCAAGTGCACAAGTCAAAAAGTTGAAGGACCTTGATTTACAATTTCTGAAGGGCTTGATTAAAATGAAAGTCGAAATTTGAATACCAAATTGTACAAGTACAAAGTTAAGGGACCTGCACAATTATTTGGGAGACTTAGCTGCATCATGAACTTATGTATTTTTGGCAGAAATGTGATGCCTAGGCTCCCTTTAAAAATCTGGGGACCATTTTAATTGTTTCTTCAAAACCGAGGAACTTGGCTACAAATTTTGTTAGTTTTTATGTGAAAAAACGTGCAGTAACAGGATTCATTCTGGCTTCTTCTTCCTTCTCTTTCTTTTTCATTTTTCTTTACATTTTCTTTGTCTTTTTCTTTCCTTTTCTTTTGATTTTCTTGGCATTTTTTGGGGTAAAAATCAAGAGCACGAAGAGAAGCAATTAAAGAATTGAAGAAATATTGAGAAGGGCCAGATATTTTTGTCTTCACAAATCCAACAAAAAGAAGTTTTTTTCTGTAATATTGTATCTTCTCTATTATTTTGCAAAATTTGTAATGTATTGTTATAAATATTTTCTTTTTTATCATTTGTGTAAAATGGACTAATTATTTGCATTGAGATTTATGGTAAAAACTTGACTTAGATTTTACAGATTTTCAATATTTGCTCCTTGATGTTAAATTACTTAAGTTTATGTATTTTTGATATTGTTATTATTGCATTTTCATTTATTTGGTTAATGAATAATTATATTTAGTGATTTGTAAATTGTTCGACAGAAATGTGTATTTTATATCAAATAGTAGAAATCGTAGGTTGTTATAAAGGATAGAAATACACGCTTAACCCTAGATAATCTATTGAGCTATTTTCAAAAAAAATTAATGTAATTATTTGGTTTTAATCGATAAAGCGATATAGTAGGTTAAACTAATTAATTAGGGTTAATTTTGCTTGAGGAAGGTAATTAACTAAAATTGAAAAATTGAGTCTAACATCATAAATGAATAATTTATTGATTAGCTTGTAGAGAAATTAATTAGGCGACAATTAAGCAAAACCATAAATTTCAATCACGTTTTCTCCGAAAATTCCCAAATGTTTGTGTTTTCTTATTTTGTAGAAATTTAGTTAATTTTTCCTAATCTTCAAATCATAATTTTAATTTTTTTCTATTGTTAGAATTAAATTAATTAAAGTTGTGTAATTGAAATTAAACATTTCTCAAGTGATCGACAACTCGAATTCAAAAAGTCCACTTTATTACCTGAACACAACTCATACACTTGCGATTTGTACTTTTAGCGAACATTCACCCTTATATACTATTTTATCATTTCATTAATCAAAAATTCAAACCTTAATCATGATATTTGCGTCCAAAATTTATTTTTAAGCTACGTACTTTAAAATGAGGATCAAAATATAATCACATTTTTATATTATTGTTCGTTTTGATTATCTAAAATATAATGAGCAAATGAGTATTTTTACTCTATTTTAAAAAGAAAATTTTAGAGAAAAATTATAATCACAAACAATTTGTGTTAATTTGAGAATAGGAACGCAATAAAAGAAGTTTGAGACATAAATATAATAATGTGTGAAGGTTATGAATCTTTTCATGCAATTAAAATGTTGTATAGTTATTAAAAATTGTAGTTTGTATATATTTAGCCTTATTTTAATTTTTTGTTTGAAAATTAATATTTTTAAAGTTTTCTATTTTAAAAGTACTTTTAGAGGATGTCGCGTTTGACCAACTTTCTTTAAATGTTGTTTAATTAGAGGAAATATTTTCATAAAATTAGTAAAATGGGTCCAAAAGTAACTTTTGGATTTCAAAACTTTTTTTAACTTTTTAAAAGTCATGCCAAACGAGTCCAATGTTTAATAAAATTAGGACCGAAAAGAAAATTTTCTAATTTTTGGGAACGAAATGGAAAATAGTCAGGACCCGTTGGCAGAGATAAACTATTCAGCAACTAAAAAATGATCTAAAAAAAATTGTTATTTACCAGTAATCTTTTGGGTTAATTTGCGCTTTTGATTTTTTTTCGAGGATTTAAGAAAAATACGAAAAAATATGCTTTTAAAGAGTCAAAATTTCCATGCGAAGTTGAGTTCACAGAACTCGATCAGATAACTCACAAAGGATGAGCCCCATATGAATAAAAAATGATCAAAAATTAACCTACTCAACCCCCATTGAGTTTGCCCTATAAAGCTCCTGTGAATGCACTTCTTGTACGTCAAGTGGAGTTCTTTTAATTACTCCGCAATTTAATTGTAATGTAAGTCACTAATTTTTACTCCTTTTGACACTAATGCCCCCAATTTTTTATCGCATTTTTCAATTTTCAATTGAATTAACACGTTGTCTCCGATGATGAATTTTGTCCAAAAATTTGCATACATGCATTGAAATGAAGGGATACTGTTTTGCATTTGTTATTTATTTGGCTGATTTAAAAATAACAAATTTTGTGAATTTAAACCATCATCAAAGACAAGATATGCAAATTTAAAAAATATTAGCAATAAGAATGTGACAAAAACGTTGAGAATATAAACGTATAAATGAACAAATATTTGAGAAAACAAAATGTAAGTCAATAAATAAATATATCAAGGGCGTGTTTGATACACCATACAAGATATAAAATCTCTTATACGACATATGAAGTTCAATGTTCAGGATATTCAAATTATTTTTATCTAAGTAGTTAGACTTTCCTAGCTACTCCATAATAAATTAACAAATCAAATTAGGTGAATTTAGACTGTTATTTGTTTTTATCAATGAAGTGATGAATAATAAGGAAAATAGTGTATAGGTTTAGTTATAATAAAAATAATAATATAGAAAATATTATAAGTTTACTTATAAGTAAAAATTCATTTATAAACGCAAATACTACTTATAGGTAAACAATCACTTGTAAATGAGAAATTGTAACTAAAAAACCTATTTATAAGTGAAAATTACATACAAGTAAACAAATCACTTATGAGGTAAAAAATTTATTGAAAATAAAAACTTTACTCTTAAGTAAGTAAAATATTGGTTTACAAGTGAATAAGTCAATAAGTAGAAAATTTTCTTAAAAATAAAAATAGTGAAAATTACACCCAGTACTATGATACAAAATCAAATTCTGTTTCTACTACACACTTTTTTTATTCTAAAAGTACATTTAATTTGTAGTAAAAGTGATTAATTTTTAACAAAGCTAAATAAAATAAATTAGCTTAGCTTGATTTATGGAACAACACCAAAATTCAAAGCAAAAATCTCTCTTAAATCTTTCTAAACAAAACCTCAATAATCCTTCAAAAAAATAACATCTTACCATCATCATTCATTTCAATCTTCTATTTAAAAGAACAACTGCAATAGGATGGGACAAACGGCTTAGGGTTTCTCAAACTTGTATTGACAAACTTTATGCAACTAGAATTTTCGATCTATCATATACTTCATGCTCTTTTCCCATTTTATTACGATGGCCCTGTTTGTTGAACATTATTTGATAAAATAAGTTTTGTAACAGTGAATTATTGAAGAACGTATAATTAAAAAATTAGGAAAATGAGTTTCCAAATAATGAGAACCAAACTGGGGCATAGTGCATTATATTGCATATGCAACAAAAGTATTTCATAAGAAATGTGTTAAATGTAACAGCAATATTATATGCATAAGAGACAACCACAGACTTTGTAAAACGTTATAAATTACTTACAATAACCTAACATGTTATGATACATCGCGTAAAATTCCAGAAGTAGAGATAACATATCATGGTATACATCATTTTTACACGTTATGGTGCATGTTACATTACCATTTTTACACGTTATGGTGCATGTTAGATTACCGTATTAACAACATACAATGAAAACTATGCACAGCAATACGTGAAAAGTAATCCATGTTGTGTCTGAATTTTTTAATTGTACATCATAAATATACATGTAAATGTATCAGCTCATGCGACATGTTTGAAACTACATCACAACAATTCCATCTAATCTGCTTTAGGCTAATCCTCGCCAATCTTATCCCTCCTATTCACATCCTTCCTAATCCTGCTTTCATCCAATACTGTACCAAACATGTCCTCAATATGTTTCAACTACCATCTGCAAGTCTCAACAATCATTAAAATGATATATTCTAATTTTTAATTCAGTGTACATAATCTAGTGATTATGAAATAGTTCTTTTAAGTTGAACTACACTCAAAACACACACACACACACACACACACACACATTTTTGGGATATATGACTATAATCCCTAGCAAGTAGTTAAAATAAAATGTAATATTTACAAGTCACAACTAATGCCATATCAACCAAACAGTGCATTGTCCTCTAACAAATTGGGAAAAAGCTCTTCTTTTCTTGTTCCTTTTCTTTTTTCTTTTTTTCGATTTTTGAAAAGTGAAAGGCATCGAAGTCATTATTATACAGAAATTTTAGTGCCATAAAACAAGGACAATTAAACTTCCAAACTAAAAGCTCCATAAAAGCAGCTTCACATAATCAAATGGAAGCCTTTATCCAGCAAGTACAGAAGAAAACATATGTAAGCTGATTCTAGACTAATTCGGGCACCTCAAAAAAGAAAGGCATGTACATTTAGTTCAGACAGAGCTGTATGTGGACTTGGAACCGTTTGATGTCCAAACATTTATCCTCTTACTCCATTCCAAACCTAAAGAAGAGGAATGAAGGAAATATGGAACAATTGAGAACAGAACTTTAAATATAAATGCCATTACCTCCTGTCTGCCCTTAGCCTTTTATATGGATGAACATTATTCTCACCAATATCCCCAAAATCTGCAGAATTAACACCAGATGGGTTCTCGTGATCCTGAATAATCAGAAAAGTAGAAAACTATAAGCAACTAGTGTTTTTCTTCAAAACACACTAAGCCCCTGTTTGGCCCCCATTCTCATTCTCATTCTCATTCTTTCTCTCTCTCTCTTATTTTCAACCACACAATCTTTCTTAAAATAATATTACACACAAATCAAAAACTTTTCATTCCTTTTCAACCACATATTTTTCAAAAAAATACTGTTCAAACATTAAAATTTGAAAAGAATGGGGGCCCAATGGGGGCTAACATATTAGATTATGACTTAGCCTCCTATTTGAACCTCATTCTTTAAAAGCTCATTTTTCTCCAAACTCGTTTTCAACTGCACATTCTCCAAATAAAATAGTTTTATATGTAAATCCAAAACTTTTCCCATACTTTTTAACTACACATTATCCAAAAAATCACTATTAAAAAATCTATTTTCCCAAAAAATGGGGCTAAAACAAACCCTTAATTGCTAAAAAAAAGGCCTCAAAATATCTAACAGATAGTATAAAGGTAACAGGATAAAACCATAAACATGAACAAATATTGTATACAGTTTCACCAGATAAAGAAGCATAACACACTCCTGCAAGACCAGAGGCAAGACTTGAAAGGAATTCTAAGGAAAAGAAAGGGGATCCAAAAGAAACGACTTTATTATTGCATGATTACAGAAAAGAAAGAATAAGAAAAAGAAACCAGAGATGATGTACTAAATGGGAGATAGAAGCAAGGAATACCTTATGAGCTTTGCAATATTCTATCAACCATTCAAAATTTTCTGAGCAAAGATAATTATCATCTCATACAAATTTGGGCAAATGTTGGACTTCCAAATTTAAGTAAGCAACGAAGGGAAACAAGGGGAAGTTAATTTCCTCTATCATTTTATTTCTTCTTGTCTCATAAAATCCACAAACCAAATAGAGCTGAGCTGGAAAATGAACGCTAAACAAACCTTTGCACTCAAGATTGCAGCAGTACTACCACTATTTGCACGTCTGCAAATATCAAGTTGCACGGAAATACTGGCTTGGGACAAATCTACGCCAAATGATTGTAGCGCACTGGTAAGGTTATTCAACAACCTGTTCAACCTCCAAACCCCATTGTATTACAAAAGAACGTTCAGATAATTATTAAAAACAATGATTCATAAGCAAAAAGAACTGGCACTGATAGAACTGATCAGCTAACAATGAATCGCCATGAATTAAATCAAGAGGAACTACCGGAAGGAAGTTCAACCTTCAAATCATTTGATCAGAAGAAACTGGCCTCTAACAGGTATGGATGTAACGAAATTCTGCATTTAGGGATAAATTTCCTACATTCCAAAAATCTGTCCACCTATGCCATCACCATCATAAATGATGTTCCCTAGCAAGTTTCAACCATTTGACGTAATTTTCAAGGAAAAGGAAAATGTAATTTGATTTGATCATACCAACCAAAACACAAAGCCATCAAACACGAACAAGGTTGCAAATCCTATATATGGAGATCTAAGAAAACTTGCTTTAATATGTTGCATTTCTCTACTGCTTCCCAGTGATTCAAATCTCTTGCACATTGTAACTATTAGTACAAAACGCAGCTCACAGCCGATTTACTAGTTTTCTCCACCAAGAGAACAAATACGAACCTGATGACACAAAATTAAACAGCACTAGAACGCAAATATGGTACAAAATAATCACTTTTTTTTTTCTTTTTAATAAATGCTTACCCTTGAGAATAGGTTCTTGAGATGCTAGCTTCCCCACTTTCACTCTTCAGCTCTTCACCCTCATTTGTAATGTAGATAGGAACGGATGACTCATTTGCACATGATTTCCCCACCCAAAATTGGGATTGTGACTGAGGTGTCAATTGCTCAGCATCTAAATAAGATCCCTGAGAAGGTTGGCAAGATACATCTTCGAACAAATTTGATTGCAGAGGAATGTTAGGAAGAATTGTGTCATTCGCTGCCACATGTGGACTTTCTGTTGGTTTGCATAAGACGTCTCCACTCGAGTCAGATTCCAATGAGTTTTGCGCATGATTAAGCATTTTTGGATTGACGATATAATTATCTTCATGATCTGTTCCGTTCCTCGCAAATTGAGATTGGTCGATAAAGCTTCCGACAGGCTCAGGATTGCTTCTCTGGCAGCAGAAGGATGAGAGGTCAATGTTGAATTTCTTCTGCGTCAAAATTAGATTGACATCTCCAATCCTAAAATGAGAAGCTCACTTTTTTCCTTCTCTTTTCCAGTTCATCATAAAATACTACATTACAAAGTGTGCTCATTTTCCCTCAATACAAACAATTGCAAACATAGTTTGATTAACGAGTTCACCAAATTACGTCAAGAGTGAATTTAACATGATAAACCTAACTAACTTTGACATGAGATGCACATTTTCATGTTCGTACTTTGCTTAAGTTTTACATTTATTCAAACGTGGAACTGAAGTAATGGCAAAAGCATTATACAATACACTCATTCAACAATTCCATGATGTGAAAACACCTATAACTCATAAAAGAAAGAGAAACAATGCAGCCTTAATCATCTAGCTATGGTATCAATATGTGATATGAGAGAGAAAGAGTCATGATCAACATCACGAAAAATAACAGAAAGAATAAATGATCATATAAATTTACCCATGGCATCAACTTTGTGGGCTCTGGACTCCAATCTTGGGACATTCCCTCATACACCTGTAACCTCTCCTGTAAAAACTGGATATACTGTATAACCTGCAATAAGTATCATTGAGACCATAAGAGACTTCGTATAAAAGGGACATGTTTTAGCAAAAGGATTGTCATATAACATAAAAGAATTGAGAACAAACCTCCAACAAGAACGAAGCTTTATCTCTCTTCTGATCACTTTCTGGCACTAACCCCATTAAAATTTGAAATCTGCAACAAGTAAAATTTTATTCACTTTCCGCCATCCTTAAAATGAAGTGAAGCTTATTAGTCATTTTGAAGTACTTAAGCTGAAAGTAATGACTATATAGTGTTCAAGCTCACTCTAATTCAAAAACCTAGTTTCCAATACCCAAAATAACACATTTCTAATTGCTCAAAAATGGAATTCTGCACTTCGTGGCGTGAAAGTCGTTTCTCAGTTAGAATTCTTGAAGAAATACTAACGCAATATTTAATTTGACACATATAAATAGTAACATAACACATATCAAACTCCCATAACTAAACAACACCCAAAATACTCAAAACGGAAAAGAACAAGAAGAAAAATTGCCTTTCATTAATCTTGCTTCTCCTACGTTGCTCCGTCTCTGAATGTTTCGACCTTACAGCATTCACTCTCTTATCATCTCTTTTCGTCTCCCTTTTTCCTGCCCAATTAAAACTTCAAAAACTATAATAACAACACATACATGTAATTACACACCTAAACACACGTACCTCCGGGAGAAGAACTATCGGGAGTTCCTTCATCCTCGTCCTGGTGGGCATTGTTTCTAATCATTTGAAGAAGATCTCCAAATCCAATTTCTCTACAACTATATGTATGTATAGTACCCTACAACTCAAAAAAACTATTGGCAATTGTCCCTTCTAGCAGTTTGAATGAATTTTCCAGAACTGAAGTCAAGTGCGAATAATTTATCCAAAATCTAGCCGTCGATTTCATTTTATTATTTGAATCCCTAGCTACTAAAATAACCGGTTTGAGAGGACTGGTAAGTTCTAACTTGCGCAGAATGACAAGTGCTAAATTGCGCGTCTTGTGGTCCCCCACCCCCCCCCGCCCCC